TTCGCATGAATTTGTACGACCGTTTCCGAAATTTGTACGGCAACGGTTCGCCCGGAAAATGCAATTTTCCACGGGCGGGGCGGGGGAAACGTTTCTCCAGCCCCACCCAAGTGGAAAAACTACTTTTCAGCAAACTTTTCTACGCCAATATTTAGCACGTGATTCGCATGAATTTGTACGACCGTTTCCGAAATTTGTACGGCAACGGTTCGCCCGCAAAATTCAATTTTTTATGGGTGGGGCGGGGGAAACGTTATTTATTTTTAATTATGTGACACTAATATTTTAATTTTACACACGAACAACCACCAATATATGGCCCAACACATTTTTTTTTATTTTTTTCGTTTTATAAATAGCTTTAAAAATACACTTAAAAAACATTTGTGTACCTGATAGAGGTTAGTTTGATTTATTAGAAGATCTGCAAAAAATTTTAATCATTACCATTTGCCATCACAATATATCATGATAACAGAATTTTAATTATTTTAGGTATTTTATTCTATTTTCTATGTACCTAAATGGCTAAATGTATATAAAAAAAACAATAATACAGACAATACTGATCTAATTCTTCATTCAAATTTTATATAATTGTTGACCTAGATTTATGAAAAATATATAACGAAGTGCTTGATTTTTGATAAATTATCAAAATATGCACTTAAAACTTACAATATGCTCTTTTAATCAAACCCCAAAAATGGGAAAATATGTAAAAATATGCACGATAAACTTTGAGTAGGTAAGTATTTTATCACCATCATTTATTTTCCAACAAGGAAAATCAAGTGTTGCATCGTTTATAGTCAAGAATTATCTTCTTCATCACTTAAATATGAAGAAGGACCAGTTTTCCTAACTCCAAGAGTTTGTCCTGTTCTGATATTTTCAAAGATATTAGTATACATTTGAGTATCTTACTTATCATATAGGTATTTAATAGAACTATAGAAACTTTATTTATTGATAATGATTTGGAAGTTACATTGTTGACCATTCTGAAAGAAAAATACCATAAATATAATATATCTGACTGTTTTTGGTGGTGTTTTATTTAAACGTATTTAATTCTGTATAATATTGTTTGTAAGACCACACTTAAATATTGCCAGTATTGGTAGAATATATATATTATTATAAGGTAGGAATCTAGGCAACTAACATGGTACAATATATACCTGTTCAGTCACTGGATTAAATTATGTTTGGCATTATGGTAATACCAATAATTGAATAAGTGTTCAATTACTAGATTTTGTTACATTTTAGTAACTAGTAATTGAATATCTTAATATGTAGCTATGATAAGCATTTTTTGAATTTATAAGCAAGAAAATTATATAAAATGTAGTATTTATCATAATAAAACAAGTAATTGAAACGTAATATAATAAATGTATAATAAGCTGTTAGATTCCCACAAAAAGTAATTCATAGTAATTCCTTAATCCTTAGACAAATTTGGTCCATACAGGTGAACATTTGATTATTGTGATTTTGAATTATTGTCACTTGTTAACTATCAAACTGTGGTTATACAATATGGCCATTATATTTATTGTTAGAACAAACATTCAATTATTCAATTAGATATATAGTTTTCTTAATTTTAAAGCATTTGTTGACATTGTTTAACTTCTAGGGGGTGTACCATAGTTGGGTGGTTCCCCCTTTAATTTACCTAGGTATATATTTTAATCTATTAACGGTTGAATAATATTTATTTGGTCCATATATTTTCTTTACCTATAATCTCTGAATATATTACTTTTTTTTAATACACTAGTGAAATTGAAATATTATGATATTGATGACCTGCAAACAATTTTGAAGACCTGTTAAAATTTAATTTATAATAATTTGTTATAATTTGTTATAATTTGTCTATTATATTCTCTTCTACCATTACTCATTTTATAGTTAAATTTGAGTTTGAGACCTATGATCTATAAATTGGCAAATAAATAAACACTTCTTAATAAGTACATTTTCTTTAACATAACTATGTGTAACAAAAAAACTCAATAGCTACTTTTACTTTTAAAATGTATAATAACATTATAATATGTAGAGGTTGTGAAATGTTTTTGTATATTTAATGAAAATAGTGGTTGCATGATTGTGCAGGTAAGTATGTAATATAATAATTGAAAAATAATAATTCATTAATTCATTATTTACCTAATTAGATAACTATATAGTTTAAGAGTTGGCACCTATCTAATAGGTAGTATGTATCATGTATACAATGTATCTATGATTTAAAAGTTTCATTATAAATTAAAGAAATACCACAGCACCACAACAAAGACAGCTTACACAGTTGCACGTTAGCTGGTGTAAATAATGGCCATAGCCTATCTTGACCAGTTTAATGAGTTTGAATGCTGGATGAAAAAACAAAAACTATTAAAGTATAAGGAAATAATATTTTGTTATTTATATTTGTACATTTATAAGTCTGTCTGTATTTATAATGTCTGTCAACTCTACTAATAGTGATATTAATAGTTTGAACTAAAGAATGCCCAGCTATTTTGCCAGCTTAGTGCATTTTGTGGACAATATTAACATATTTAATAAAATATTCTCAAACATCTTTAGCATTTAAACTAGGATTTCCAACGCCTCTTCTCTCTCCCATTCCTTTAATGTTGCCATTTTCAAAATCTTGTTTTTCATTCAATTACTGAACAAAGTCATGTAATACATATGTATGTACATGTACAAATACATACCTACTGCTTTAGTAATCTAAACATCAAAATCTGGGGAAGCCAAAATTGTTGTATGAAACACTCTCCATTTATTTGAAAGGATTCCAAATGTACATTCAATGTACCTACCTTCTAGCTCTGAACAGCCAGTAATAAAAAATCCTCCTCTCATCGGTCAAGCTTTTTTTCTGGATATGGCCAGAACAAATGTTTTTATAAGGCAAATGCCTCATCAGTCATAACCAACTAAAATAAATGGTTAAGGTAAACCATCTCCATCCCAGGAAAAGAAGCATGAGGGGAAAGTTCATTTTTCCAACACTTATTTTTTCCAAACCATGACTGTTTACATAAAATATTACAGTCACTCTCTTTTCCATATGATCCCCAATCCATTATTCTGAAGCAATAGTTTACATCACTCATTCCAAGCAGGATTAATGAAAAGAAGTGTTTGTAGTTATAGTTAAGTATTTATGAAACCAATAATGAGCATATTATTATAGAACTATTGTCAATACCTCGAGGTGAATATTATTTGTGACATAATAATAATAACTATAATATAGATGTTAGGAAATGTTTAGATAAATTGTACATTGGTACCTACCTATAGGCTATTAATATTAAATATTAATACTTGTTAGGGTAGAATTAAAAAAATTATGATTTCATTTAGGTAGGTAACATTTTATTTTTTATGACATAATTTTTTATGTCTTAGATCTTCAAGTAGTTTCAACAACACACAGCCAACTAGTAATATAAAACAAAATTATGCAGGGAAAATGTCATGGAAACTTGATTCCAATAATCAAATCATGATACATTATGTTAACTACAATTTGTATGGTGTAATTGCATTTTATGGTCCAGAAAGAGGTGATCTAAGACAGACGGATGGGCATTATGTTGCATATTGATTAAAGTCCAATCAGCAGTGGGAGTCTTATGATGATACAAAAGACCAAGTATAATTAAATACACCTCATTTAAAGTGAATGCTGAAATGTACCTGTTATTTTTGTCAAAATTATTATAATTTTAATTATTAAATATCAATAACATTTTTGTTATATTATATTATAATAACTGTTCTTATGAGTTAGGTATGTTTGATATTACCATTTATAGGTATTGTTAAAGTTAGTAATATATATAAGTATATATATGGTCTGTTAAGTTTATTGTAGTCATCAAAATGTTTATGATATGTAAATGAAAATGATTAATATATTATTATTATTATATAATATACTATACATTTGGTAACAGTCAGTCAAATACATGAAAAAGGCTAATATTGTTATTTTCCACTTGGGTGGGGTTGGAGAAAAGTTTCCCACGCCCCGTCCATGGAAAATTGAATTTTAAGGGCGAACCGTTGCCGTACAAATTTCGGAAATGGTCGTACAAATTCATGCGAATCACGTGCTAAATATTGGCGTAGAAAAGTTTGCTGAAAAGTAGTTTTTCCACTTGGGTGGGGCTGGAGAAACGTTTCCCCCGCCCCGCCCGTGGAAAATTGCATTTTCCGGGCGAACCGTTGCCGTACAAATTTCGGAAACGGTCGTACAAATTCATGCGAATCACGTGCTAAATATTGGCGTAGAAAAGTTTGCTGAAAAGTAGTTTTTCCACTTGGGTGGGGCTGGAGAAACGTTTCCCCCGCCCCGCCCGTGGAAAATTGCATTTTCCGGGCGAACCGTTGCCGTACAAATTTCGGAAACGGTCGTACAAATTCATGCGAATCACGTGCTAAATATTGGCGTAGAAAAGTTTGGAAAATTAATAATGGGTGGGGCTGAGGAAATGTACGTGTTTAACGCACTGCGATAAAACGATTTATATTGAAAAAAATATTGACGATTATACGAAGCGTGAACTTTTAATAAATCATTGGGTACCACCGAAAAACTACGTATTTCCTTTCTCTGAGCATAATAAAAATGGTAAAATAATACGTCGATTTATTGGGCAACAACATTTAAATAATTTTAAATGGTTAGTATTTTCACCATCAAAACAAGGTTTATATTGCAAATATTGTCCTTTGTTTAATGTACAAAAACAAGGTGGTTTTCAACGTAATGTAGAATTAAAAAAATTAGTTACTCAACCATTGACAAAGTTTGCAAAATTACAAGGAAATACAGGGGATTTACATGGACATGAAATCACTAGATATCACAATGAGTCTGTCCAAATGGCTGAACTTTTTTACAAAATTACAATAATCCCAAACTTCAAATACACAATTTATTAAATACGAAACGAATGCAAGAAATAAAAGAAAATCAAGAAAGACTTATTCCAATCATAGAAAGTATAATATTTTTGGGAAGACAAAACATCCCCTTTCGAGGGCATAGAGATGATGGCCAACTAGATTTACCGTCTACCATTGAAGATGGAGGAAGTTCAATAAACGAAGGTAATTTTAGAGAGCTTTTAAAATTTCGAGTCAAAGCCGGAGATTCTACGCTTGAAAATCATCTGAAAAATTCATCTTCGAAGGCAACATACATTAGTAAAACAATACAGAACGAACGTTAAGATCAACAATGTGTGAAACACGCTTGACTGGACTTGCATTATTGAACATCCACAGGGACATAGACATCGATGTTGAAAAATTAATTGAACGTTTCTCCAAAAGCAAAAGAAAAATTCCATTTGCAATTTGAAAACCATAAGTCATAAGAAAATTAAGCTGATTTTAAGTTGTACATTTGATTAGAATTTATCGTAAATTATTAACTATAGTAAAATTTAGCTTAAATGTAGAAAAAGTAATGTAATTAAATATTTTATAACCAATAAAGTAAGATTGAGTAACCTAAATATTTCAAAAAAAAATTTTTGTTTAATTATTTTTTGGTCTTTTTAAAGGTAACCTAATCATCATTATCCTGATGTCGAACAATATTAACATATTAAACCCTGATAAACTTTATTAATAATATTTGATGGCCCCCCCCCATAAATCTGTTCTGGATCCGCGCCTGAATTATGTATATGTATATTATGTAGACACATTTCGTAAAAATAACATCAGTAGTTATTGATAATCAACTTCATACTTCATTTTATATAGAATTAACAATTAATAGTATCCTGGACCTATGCCTTAACCTATATACAGGGAAGTAATAATGAAAAAATAAGAAAAAACCATATCTTAGTGGATTCTGCAATAGCTGCATACATAGTCATTGCATAGTATTTATATTTCAGTAGTCATTTAACTCTAAAATTGGAAAAGTTTGATCGATGTTTTCTATGCTTATATATAGATTCAACGAGTATATAATTTCAAAATTACAACAGATAGGCTTTAGGTATATTAAAATATAATATTAATTTGGTGTCGTACATTGTTGATTAGAAATAAGTAATTTCTATAGAGTTCGATTTTGATTGTTTTTATAACTTTCTATAGGAAATGGAATTTATAGAAATGAAATATAAATTTGTTTCATGACATTCACTTTAAGAATAAAAAAAATGTTGGTCATTTTTTGAGATTTTATTTTTTAGATTTATATTTAATTCACTACCTAGTCATTTTTATTCAGAATATTTTTATTTTAAATGCATATTTTTAGTGCTTTTGATATTCTTATAACAATCACGTAATATGTTTAATGTTAGTCACTTTTTAATGCGATTAAGTAATTACTATTGAAAGATAGTTTGATTCACAAACTATTAAGTGAATAATATTACTATTAATAGTTATTACGTACGTGCCTACATATATTAGTAATTATTTTGAACAAATTATGGGTATTAAAATGTATGCTCCCAGATTAAATCCCCACTTACACAGCATACGTACAACTAGGTAAGTAAGACTTGTTTTATCGATTCATTTTAGTTACCTAGTGATAGGTACATACAAACATAAATCCGTCATCTTTAAGTATAATTTATAAATCACGTTTCGCAGTCTGCTTTAAAGATAAAATGCAGACAATTAATGATCAAACACCCTATAGAATTTTAATTAAAACAGAATATGACCTATTTTTCATTAATTAATTTCTATGCATAGAAAAGTGTTTATACTTAAACTTAAACTCAAACTACTTATATAATATGTTAAGCGTTAGCAAGTTTTAACATTTATAATATTATATCCAAAATGTAACAAAATATTCACACCATTTTTTAATTGAACACATTGATTTTAGATACAGGCCTGCAGAATATGTATAATATTATAAACATTAACATAAAGACATTAATTATAACAATAACTAACATACTACATCAAATTATTGTCAATGCATATTATTTATTTCCATTAATATAAGTACAAATCGAATGCTATCCATAATATTCCGTGCTTAAAATTATAGTTAGGTTCTATTAAAATGTATGTAATGAGTTATGCATATGATTAAAAACTTGCGTGGTTTTGATGTTTTCAAAAATAAAATATTAGGTAGAAGTGAAAAATTAATTACATTTATTCGATAGTTTGAAACCTGAAAAAGTATGTTGGCACAAAATTACCATAGATAGTGTATAACGTGCAAAATTTTTTTATCTCTATAAATATTTCATGAAGAATGATGGTAATGGAAAAAAAAACATAATTATTATCTAGAGACTCTTAGACCATCAACTTTAAAGTCAAAGTAGATTCTTTGGAAGAACTTTCTGCAATATGAGTATTTCACATCGTTTGTATATATATGATTCAATTTGTATACAGTACGCCACTGCCACTTTGGACCTAGGATAACTTACGAAACAATATTACGTGCATACCTACATTACGCATCACCAAAACTGAAGAAATAAATTTTTTTTTTGAAAATTGGCATGATATATTTTATTTATAGAAACATTTTTTTTTTATACTCTAATTTTGTCAGTTGCTCTTGGTTTCTTATGTACCTATTTTTCAAGTAGAAATCGAAAGTTACTCGTCCAATGTGGATTTAGCTCGTTCAAACTTTCGATAGGATGACATCACCGATATAGGCATATTTCTGAAACTATATAGGATCATAGACTTTCACGTACCTACTAAAGTAATATGATTAGGTATCTAACGTCATCGGGAAACCTCAAAATTTAATCGATCAGACCAACACAAACAAAACGGACATAATATCGCATGTGGATTAGCATAATAAGTTGTAGGTCTTAAGTCGGTGTCTGTGAAAAGCCGTGACCGATTGCAAAGACAACGAGGTCGATCGAGAAATGAAACTGTTGTTACGCACTTTGACTAGGAAATGCTAGCCAATCGCGACGAAATCAGTTTCCCGTTTTGTATTTTTTTTTATAAAAAAAAACCGTTTTCGAAACAAGTCACTCTTCCAGAAGTTTAGAAAGTTGACCGGTAGAATATACGAGGTAAAAATAAACAACTATATGATTGAATTTTTTCTTTTCCCGTTTCGCGTGTATACAGAACTTGTGCGTTTGGTGCGGCGCTGTTGTGTGTTAATTGCATTAACGTGCAACCGACAATAGCACTATTGGACCGGTTTTTCGAGCAAACGGTTCGCGTGTGTCCCATAACAAGTAATCGTAAAAAGAAATATATTATATACCATTTTGATATTATTGCATACCTATACGCATAATGATATATAATGTTATATGCCGACTGCAATGAATTAGCAAACATAATATTATTGTAATATTGTATTATTTGCTGTCGTGTCGAGAGACTTGGAATTCATTGGGATTTCTTTGTCGAAAGAATGGTGCATTACATAACCAATTTATAATAATTTTCTATTCGTATGTTCGATAATATTTTATTATCATACTTCAGTCAGCTGAACGGTTTTGTATAATATACATTTGTAAAATAAAGGGTAATTTTTTTTATTTCAGATTTAAAATACTTAGAATATGTTGTAAAAAACACAGACTTATTATTAACACATTTTCGGCTATCTACAGCACTTTGAAAATATTGCATTTCAAAATATGGGTAGATATATTTATTTAAAACACTTATGATAGGCATAATAGTACTACTTATTTATTTATTTTTTTTATTTTCATTTATTCTTCAAGAAGATGTTCGTGTGGTGGCCCATACTATGATCAGAATGCATGTAAAAATATGAATTATAATATATTATGTTTACATTATGTACCTATTTGTGTAATGCATATATAATAGTTATAAAGTAAACAATAGCACCATTTAGCATGTTCTGTTTGAATTTTTAAACTAAATATTAGGTAGAATGTAGATATTAATAATGAAAAAATTAAGTAGTTACGAAAAGGGTGTTCTAAGCTGCACTAGAACGATTCGAATGAAATTCTCAACCAATGATTTTATTATTTTACGATATAAATGTTAATAAATAATAATGTATTATTGGAATAGTTTTAAGAATATTATATAGTATATACGCACACTCATAGGTTGGTATTCTAATGTGATATATTATTTCATATTTTGTAAAACATACAGCATATTTTATAAGCATAAATAAAAGCAAATAGGTAGTTATTTAATTTACTCTAATGACTAATACTATATTAGGAGTGTGAGTTTCAAAAAAAAATTGAAAATTACTTGTATTTTAATTTCTTATGAGAAAATGAGCAAATTACATATACAAAATAAACGTTAAAATGCCCTGAGGCCATTATTAACATTTAAAAAACTTAATAGTAGGTGTAATTTTTAAAACTTATAAATTATAGTGCAATAAGTATACCATTATATTTTACAATACTATAAAAAAATTAAAAAAATTATAAAAACAAATTTCCTCAATATCCCACAAATAATTTATAATTAAAAAATGTATTTGGTACACGGGTGGGCACAGGGGGATGAGTGATTCCATTGCCCATAAAGTAAATTCAATTTAATATGCATGCCAAGGTTTTATAAAAATTGAAATATTTCAATACTAAATATACTACGAGAAATTTTCAATCACTTCTTGCATATGGATGAGGTCATTATACGATTAAAAAATATGAAAGTTACACCTCCGATGTTTGTATTTATTATAATATTGTTCGATATTTTGTTTGAAAAAATATCCTTAATCGATACACAAATATGCATATATCCTTCAAAAAAAAAAAAAAAAAAACACTCGAACTAAAGTAATGGGAACAAAATAGATATGTAATTAAAGGTATATAATTAAAGCACAGTGGAATAGTATCGACGAATTTATGTATACCATTTAAATAAGAAACAAATTTTAATAAATTATTTTAACATCAATTTAATATCTAATTTTTACATACCTGCACCTTGGTGCGATGTTAATTTTTTTTTTTTAGAACTAATTATGTAGGTGTTGCGAATTATTTATGATAATTATGTTATACCTAATGAAACTAAGTTTACCAATTACGCAAGCATTTACTATTTCTAGGCACTATAAATACTAATTGGGTATTACCTAAGTATTAAACTACCAAATATTTATTGGTTAAGCCATGATATGAAAGAAGCTAGGTGTACTATACCACGTTGTGAAATATTATGCATCGACATAGGTAGTAGACACGTCTACATTTTTCAAAATATCTAGAACAAATTAATTTAGGTGTCCTATTATAACCTAAAATTAATTAATATACAACATACAAAATAACGATCTTTGGTAAATTAACGTGAATCAATCGGTGGTTTTGTAGTCCCTGTCTCAGTAAATTTTAAAATTAATAAGCACTTAACGTGTACATTTTATTTTCTAATGTATTTTTCATCATCTTACGAAAAACTTAAATAACTCTAAACAATTTGTTTTATTTAATGCTTTGTCATAATTTTATATAATTATATCTTATCTACTTATAATTTGTAACATGTTCATTATTAAATCAATTAATTCATATTTGTAATATGACTAACGGGCTCTGCCCTGATCACTTCTTTTGACGACCCCCCTGTGGGCTTCGCTTCCTGTCAAACATCGATTTTTTTCTTTGATATCACCATCTTTATACAAGGTATATTGCTGCCGATTCAGCACACGTTAGTTTGTTAAAAAATCTAGGATTATCGATATAAAAATTCAAAAATACCTCTCTATCAGTGTTATCTTTATTCACTTTATAACAAGCTCTTGCCAAGATAACTATTTGACAAAACTTTTATGTATGATAAAAAGATTTTTGTTAGTAATATTAGGTGGTAATTTTTAATCAAGCAAGATAATAATATTCCATGTGAAAGTATTTATTTGAAGCCATGTTATAAACATTTACCTATATACCAGCCAATGGTAAACTTTAATAGGATGTTCTTTATTGTCGAGATTAGGGAATCAACTTCACATTCTGATGTGATATTTATAATTTATATAAACAGTATAAGTGATATTTATGTTGCCTGAATTATTGCTTCTGAATATCTTCCCAGATAAAAGATTGTTTTTAATTTTTTTTAAATTAAAAAGTAATATAATATGCATTTCTTCATGTAACAGAAAAACTATTATAGGAACCGTCGAATAATGGAATTTTTTTTACTATTAACTTTTAACACAAGCTGCAACAACGTTATTAGTAGGTACACTACATTACTTCAAGTCTCAACAAATTTTGCATTTTAGACGCTGGTTAATTTATTAAAAATATTATAACTGTAGATCAATTAACCTATCAATTAAATACTTTTAAATATTTTACAGTATTTTAAGTATATACCTAGTACATATTATGATAATATTGTTATTGTGTTTATTATTTTTTATTTTTATATTTACAGAATACCAATTAAATAAAAATGTTTGTTCAAGTATGTTCAGAATCCCAAAACATATATTTCAGCCCATGAACTGAATCAATATTTTAAAACATTCAAACGTGATGATATTATAAAACATATTTGGACTATGATATTATAAGAAAATGTATACGAACATACTTATATAAATTTTAAATACTGATAAATGGGAAATAATAATCGTGTGTTATATTATGTGATTCTAATACAAAACCAAATAATATAACGCACGATTATTATTATTTATTTCTCATTTATCAGTATTTAAAATGTATGTAAGTATAAAACAACATTATATTAGGAATATAATATTATAATAATGTTCATTTTAAAATGTATTATATCCAAATATTGTGAATACAATTTATTAAGGCATTGAATTATTGACTATATAATTGTATTTGGCACTCATATTTTCTAAGATATTCCACCATTCGAGTGGATATTATACTTGTCAAATAATTTACAAGCCTGTTATATTTTTAATGACAACCGATTATGTCGAACTTTTGGTTTTCCATTTGGTTTACATTTCAAAGCTCATCGTGAGTTATAATAAAAAAAATATCGCAGCAATAATACAGCATTGATTCCAAAACGTCTGTTGACATTTTACACGAGATGGCAGCAAATTAAAATTGCGACAACAAGCTAAAATCGACGTTCGGGTTTCACATTTACCGATCGTTTGAGCGCTCAACATTTAGTTACAGTGATTGATTAAAATTTTTCTCATATTCCCCCGGGTTCGGTTCCTCTCAAGTCTGTCCGTTTCCACAATATTATAATATAAAAAATACCATTATTACCTATTATATACGTCAACGCGTACTACGTCAGTCTCTGTCACGATTAGTACTTCGGAAACTGGCTAACGCCTGGTGCTCTGAATGACATTTAAAAATTATCTTTATTCTTTATATTACTGTATAGTATGCATCACGGAATACCTATTACGTAATTAAACGACTAGTTGAAAATCGACCGAAACATTATAATTTCGTTTAAATGTAATGCTATATTTTTATTTCTCTAAAAACACATTGTGCCAGCATTCTCTCTGTTGTCCACTGTACCCATTCGACAGAGCACAAACAACGTCGGCGTTTAAATAACTGGTCTTTAATTAAAATCTCTCAGATGATATCGTACCTTTTGTTTTGGTTAGTACTAACATTATTCAACATACATAATATTCTCCCACTGTTAATCTACGAATTTAAATTAAATTTTCTGTCGTATTATTGTCAAAGAGCAAACATAATATTTTTATTACTCTTATGCTAAATACATAAAATTACAATAATGTAAGGATATAATAAATCCATAGCATACTATGCCTATATTATGACTCTAGTCATGTTATCTATAATTAAAGAGACAAGTATACGAATACTATATTATACACGTGCCCTTGCGTTCTTGCTATGAATAGTCGTCATTTAATATGCTCGTGCACTTACTATCGTAACTCATATTTTACTGACTCATGATAATTTAGGTGCATACTACTGTACCAATAGTATATAATTTAATCGTGATTACATGGTAATTTATTTTCATTCTTAGTGATGCCGACTAAGGGTACCTCGTACCTACGAATTATGTGTTATATATTTGAACATCACATATATTATTTTCTTAAAATATCAGGTTTTTAACATAAGTTACGCACTTAATGCATCCATATTTTTGTTAAAAAACGCCATTCAGACACGTAACAATTTCGTCTGTATAGCTTTTAGCGTCAAATTTAAATATATACCAATTATGTAAGCAAATATAAGACTTAATTATCCTATTAGACCAATCATAAAAACATCGTAATTTCGGACATTCGTTTGACTTGTGGCTAAATCAATCAATTGATCATTATTCATTAATTAAATTTGATAATATTAAATTGGTTTACTTGCACATAAATACCGTTTTATTACATTTAAGGTACCTATATCAAACAAAACATATAGGTAATGATGATAATTTATTTTCCTTACCAAAATTGTAGGTGTTTAATTTTATCAAATTTGAAATTCTATCATTATTAAGATTTAGGAAACTATTTTGAATTTGAAGTTACCAATACATTTATTTTTTTTACATAAAGTTCTAATCTGTATTGCTACACTTAATGTCTCTGTTCAATACAACTAATAATAAACTGTTCTATATCTGCAAAAAATGAATGTAGTGCCTACCAATTAATTTTAATGACAATAATTTGTTTTAATTATAATTATTTATCTGCATTATTTATATAATATACCTCTTAAATTTAATTTAATTTTTCCAGATGGGAGACGCCAAGTATGATAATCATGAAAATAGACTGATGTTCAGTTTACAGCAAATGATGAACTCTGAACATTTCGCAGACGTTGTTATATGCTGCGCTGACGGATACAAATTAAGAGCCCACAAAGTCGTACTAGCTTACTGCAGTTCGTATTTGCAAGTAAGTTAAAAACTTCTGAGGTAGTTGATTTAGTTATTTATTTTTTATAATCATTAGTGTATATAACACCGACCTTTTGTAGTGCCAATGTACACACATACAGCCATACCTACCTACCAATTTTTTATCGACGAGGTCATATACATAATATACATATATGGTTTAAAGTCGACTCCATTTTTAAGTCAGCAACGGTTTTGATTTTCACTAGAGTGGACTGATATAAAATTGAGCTTACTGATCACAAACATAGAAATTAAAATATTGTAAGGTTATCGCTGTAACGATTAACGGCCATGTACACGTGTGTACAAATCGATACGATATTACAATATATTATTATTTAATAACACCGTACTTGGAGATAAGATCAATGTATCGATGTGTATGTAAACTACTATTATTATTAACAACTACAATTACCAAAGAAATTTAATTAACCGCAAAATATAGGTAATACATATTCATAATGTATGTAGGTGCTATATAGTAACATTTCGTAAGTCATTGAATCTAATCAAAGTAGATATACGACGTCGAGCCACGAACTTGAAGCTATTACCGCAGAACAACTGATACTGCCAGTACTGATAATAATCCTATTATTGTGGGTTCGAATTTAATCAGAGCTCCGCGGGATCGATTGAAGTATTTTTTCTCGTTTTTTTGTTTGTGCGTCAAACGAACAATGGACTCGTATACGTTTACTTACGCTCTCGATCACAGACCTGTGAACAATACATATAATAAAACACCAGTTAGAATATGACAAAATATTATTAATATACCAAGCAAAACGTTGTCCCGTCAGATTGCCGGTCGCCAGGCTGGTCGAAAACCGCTATGTGACTATAACCACCGGTAACCACTAGGTGCCTATGACCTATCGCCATCGCTAAATAATATACGTCATAAACTCATAACATATCATGACATATACATACATGTGTCCGTGCCGTGCTTGTCGGATTAATCGTGGCCGCGGCACGTGTGTGGCGAGTTTATAGGTCATTTTCCAAGTCAACCGTGGACTTAGATTTATATACTAAGCCCATAATACTGTGCGCGCAATCAACTCCGACGAAAAGCGCTGCAGCGGAGAAATGTAAACAAGCGAGGATTTCGTGAAAAAAAAATTAGAAGAACGATTTCACCACACAGAGCTGTGTGTTATAATTAATCGGCAATCGCGCACGCGTATCATCCCACTCCTCTCACACCCCACCCCGCTGCCACATTCTCTCTTAAAGCACCGGAGACGAATCCTATGTAAATACACGCGGACGCGGTAGATAAAACGGAAAAATAACCATATAGACCTCGAGACCAAACCCACGTTTGCCCAATGTATATATGATATGAGACGTGTATTATAAATTACAATATACACTATAATATCAATATTATATTATATTATTAGTTGTTAATGTATAGGTACGTACCTACCGTCATGATATATATCTCTACAAAATCCGTCCACAGGCTCTCGGTCGGCGCTCATGACCCGACAACGCTAATATCCTGTTCTGATATTCTACTAATATAATAATACATCGTACTGTATCATTAACGTAAATTGTTGTCATGTTTCCGTTACAGACGCTGTTTCTCAGCCATCCTGGACCTGAGGACAGCGTCACGATCATCCTGCAGGACGTCGGGCACGAGGACGTCAGTCGCGTCCTGGAGTTTGTGTACACAGGCGCGGCCGTCGTCCCAGGACACAAGATGGACGGTTTCGTGACGGCTGCAGGTGCCCTGGGAATCGGTCCACTGTTAGACCCGCTACGGCACTTGGAAATGTCCACGGTCCAGCCACAGGCTCCTCGTCATCCGTGTTCTCCACCCACAGTCGTGTGTGATCCGACGCCCCTGACGACGACCCCACAGCAGCAGCAGCACCCTTATTGCAGGGTCCGTCAGCCACCCAGGACCACGGGTATCCTGACGCCTTCGCCGTGGGCGCAGAATTCCCGGCCGCCGTGTGCCACTCCCAGGTACTCGGCTCCAAAGACCGTGCAACCTGACCCCATAGCGATACCGGTGCAACCGCTAACCGCGACATCGATTCAGGTTAGTCATAATTACGTATGTAATTTCCGGACATTTCATAATACCGCTGCTTGAAAATACAGTCGTTAAGGATATCAAACTTTTGCTTATTTGAGTAGGTACCCATTATGCTATTTTGTGTTCGTATTATCAGTTAATTTTGAATCTTCTTTTAAAATGTTAGAGATAGGTACGAAATTTAGTGTTTATATCTCATTATATCATATTGGTAATTACGATTGAGTTTCAACAATAGATTACAAATTTTCGTTCACCGACCAAAAAAGTAGTTTGTATAACTATAAAATGGTAATTCATTTTTTTTTTAAATTTATATTTTCAAGTAGGTACCGTAATATTCATAGCCTCTCAATTAAGAAAACGTAAACTATAAACAGTCAAACAAGACATGATTACCAAAATCCTATAGTTATGAAATTATACATTTCATGCATAATATTATTAATGTTAAATTATTTCTGAATCAAAACATAATTTAGAAGTTGAAAACCTCTAGACAGTTCAGTCTCTATACAATATTTATTATCAGTACGAACTATGAAGAGATAAATTGAATAAGTAGATACCTAATAATTTGTATATAAATTGTGTGCTCGTGTGTGTATAAAGGAACAAAAAAAAACCATAAATAAAAAAACAGTTCTTAAAATTTACGAATTCGTTTGGCGGAGTATCTAAATACGACAGAACAGTGAAAAAACATTTTGTTTGATATCATTAATCAAATGTAAAAGTTCTAGCAACAAAAAAATTTAACAGGATACATTTGCCATAATATTTCTCACGGAGTTAAACTTTATCTGCTCAATACTTAGAGTTGTATAAGCTGGAACTTTTTTTAATTTAGTATGCGGTTTTATAGTTTGAACGAAATAATAAAAACATCGTTTCACCCTGTTTCTGCCTTGTTTAGTTATATCTACTAAATACTAATATTTAAAACTATAACAATGTGTGAACTGTGGTATAATATACTATTATGTATGTATTAATAAGGTAATACGAATTATATTATAATGATTATAATGAAATTTAGTTGTATCAAGTATAATAATAAATGTATCTGTCATGATTATAATATTTAATTTAAAAAAAAACCATATCGATTTATGGTGTCGTTATACATACAATATGGTTATCTTGTCATCACATTTTAAAGACAAAACTCGTTTAAGGTACTTACTTGGTCATCAGTCGACAGTCATTACATTTTATAATTTACAACATAAGATATTATATTATTATATGAGAAATAATTTTAAATCAATTCACTATTTATTAATTATTGAAGTATATATAAATAATATTATAATCACTCACTTGTCAAGTTTACTATAGTTTCCACTCGACAATTCGAGACGTTATCGGCACTAAAAGTTTTTTGGCACCCATTAGTTATTGTAGATTTCGCTTAAATCTCTATAATTTATAGTCTCTATAATATAGTGATTATTACTTACAACCGGTCGTTATACAGACAGTTGTGTGTCTGCAGCCGATAATACTCGATTTCTATACTGTCTGACGTATACGCGATAAATAAAAAATTCACATTTAAATTGATGAGTAAGTAGTTATAACAACGACCAACGACGTACATCTTCACCGCTCACCAAGTAGTTCGCCAAACTTACTCAACTGGGGTTAATAATTAATTATTTCATGTAAACCAGAAGTTTTCCAGATAAAACTCGAAAACAATATTATTACTTTTATAACCAACTACTAAGATGACCACTTTTTAAATCAGAGAAGTTCGAAAAATTTTTAATTTAGTTTTTTCTCTGTTATTTGGATATAATTATAACATTATGACTAACTAAAATTATTTAAAAACTATCGGTTTAATATAAATGTTTACATCAATTTGTTGAAAAAATTTAGAGTTATCGTGTTATATCAGTTCAGTAAACTATACATAAAATGAAAATAAATCAACAATAAATTGAAAATGTCATCCCTATAAAGTAAATTATAGGTAAAAATAAAATAATCATAAGTCGTCAACATTAGTGAAAATCAAATCTCAAAGAAACTAATGGAAAAGTCGTTATCTGCTAAAAATATTACCATTTTGAATGTATATTTTATAACATTATTATTTCAAACAGTATAAATTATTATGAAACATAAAAAATATAAATGAGCGATGTTAAAAATTACATCGTCCCATATCTCATCGAAACCGTATCTAAAATTGTTGTGTAAATTGGACGGCCACATGTGGCCATCTAATTATATAAAACATATTATCTGTTTTTTCTCCTATTAAGACAAGTGCAACAACCGATGAATTAAAATCAAAAAAATGTACTTATAATACGGCCGTGTTTACTATTTAATATTTGGTTGAGAAAAATATATAAATATTTACGACCCAAATGTAAATTTAAGGCCTCCAGTGATTTAAATGTAAACCTATTCAAAATTCTCAGAACAGAAAACACAATTCGAAAATGTTAACTAAACGAGCTATATTCGATGTACTACAAACTATATTACATACCCTGCAGTATTCAACTACATATGTGCCTCACTGGTATATATAATATTAATATTTGGACGACAGCCGACTTTGTGAAAATATGTATGGTCTGTTAGAAATTCAAGGGCCGAAAAAGTAATCATTTTTTCATATGATAAATCGACGAACGCGAGATGTTATAAAAAAATTGAACTATACGTGGCTAAAAAAAATGGTGTAGAGAAATCCACAATATTATAAAATATTTCGGTCTTTCTATTTGACTATATTGTACCTACCTATATTATTATATGCGTATAACAGTGACTGTATTGTACAAGTATTTTAGTATATTTTTTTGTAATATAAACGCACGCTTAGCGGCAACAATGACAACATGACGGTTAATGTCTTAAAATGTGTAATTATAGAAAACTTACGAAACTCATAATTTAAATATAATCCATGTAGTACACTTTCAAAAACAAGAAGACTCGTTGAGATATTCAGATTCAAGCTTTTACGTATAGTCCAATTAGAAAACCCCAAAAATATTAGTACATAACATTATAATAATAAAACAGTATTACAATAAGCAAACAATGTTTATATTTTATTTATCAAAAATGTCTAATAAAATGTGATACAACTTATACATAATTTGGCCACGTTGATATAAAATCTATGGTCTAAGATCTCGATCATCAGAAATAATTGAAATGTAAAGGTAATTTGTAAATAATTTTGGTCTTATTTAAAGTGATAACTTTAGGGCAGATATTATGCACAATGCATATGCTTTTACATATTGTTATTGATTGATCAACAAAATATCTAGTATTTATACTGAACAAAGTAGTAATATAAAAACAAAAATTTGTCACTATAATAATTAATAATCAATACTTATTCAACAAACTGTATTAATTAATATTAAGGGGTTCGATTCCGATTTTCTAAATTATATTTTAATCATATTAAACTTTTCCACTATCTACCGTTCGATACCTATTTAGGGGAAGGGACAAAGGGTCAGTAGGGTGTATTATATTAACAAAAAATCATAAAAAACTAGGTCCCAAAGAAATATCGAATGTTAATAACTGTTTTTTATCTGAATGTGAAGACGTATTTCTATACAGTCCACTCTGAACTCTATTTTTTTTTTTTTTTTCGATAAATGGCACAAAATAATTAGTAAAAAAAGGCTTAAAATTATCTTTTCTTGAAAAGTTATTGTAGGTGCTATAAACATTTAAATTAAGATATTTGAAAAGCGATGAAAATAATTTTTTTTTGTGACCATTAGTAATTTAATTTATTCACATTAAAAAAAACGATTGGACAAACTTTCGGCGTATTAAACGAACAAGAAATAGAAAAGAAACCTACTGGAGCATACCGTAGTGTTTGCCATTCACTAATGTAGGACCGGCCTAGCCGGTTATAATATTTAGTTTTATAATTTTTCTTTAATGGCCGGTAGTCGTTGATATTGTTATAATTCAATATTTACTAATTAATATTTTTTTATAAATAACCGTAAATAAGAAACAATGATAGTACGGTTTATAATGCGTGATTGTCGTGGAGAAACAGGCACAACGCACAACCATCAACGGATAAAGTGTATGGCAACGTCGCTTTAAATGCATTATGCCAAAAAGTTATATGTTCAATCGGACCTACATCAAGCTTAGGTTTGCAATAAAGTAATATTGTACGATTTGAATTTCCCATTGTTTGTTTTTAATTACAACAAAATTACAACAATACATGATTTTCGTGCTTATGAAAACTTTTGAGAAAAATAAAATAAAATATTTTAATTATTTAACATTTGTATATTACGTAGGTTTACTATATGTTATATTTTTATAAATGAAACAGAAGTGCTTAGAATTAGTTCTATACTTAATGCTTAAAATCATTAAAATGGATTCCAATGATTTAAGACTATCAACCTTTGTAATTAATTATCTTTTTCTAGATAGTAATAATTATTATTGTTTTAATATTTTATAATTAGTAGAGTGACCAATTTATTCAAAATTTTATCTAGGCTGAGTCTCTAAAGTCTAACGTATATGAAGCAATTACTACTATTAATTTATCTGAACTTAATATTATATACAGGGTATTCCATATAAAAAGATTCATTAATATTTTAAATTCATTAATGAGGTAGCGGTAACACAGTGGTAGGCCTGGGCCTTATCCTAATAACTCATAATATTATATATTATATTGTATAGCATTAAGTATCTTATCTGCAGTATGTAATTGACGAGTTTGGTTCGACAAAAAAAACAAAAATGAGAATTTTTTCTTTTAATACATTTTATTTTATAATATAGAAAAGAAGTTTTTTTTTATATAAGTAATACCTATGTATGTTTTTATTAATATTGTTTTATAGTTTTATTTATGTTTTGGAAGTTAAATTTGATTTTATTTTTTTTTTTTTTTGTGAAATAAAATAAAATATTTTTTATATCGTATTTAAAAATAAAAAATACAATAGTACCTACATATGTATAGAGAAATTCTCTTTTTCGGGTCTACCCAGAAAAAAATGCTAGCATCACCATTGTATAACAAAGTATAACTGTATAAGACACGAAATCCTTACTTTTTAAACCAGTAAATGTGTAATTTTAAAATCAATACCAAGTTAATATAATTTTTTTTAAATCATTAGATATACCGAAATATAAATTAACATAGGTACCTACAAAATTAGTACATTTTGAAAATTCTGCAGTATTAACCGCTTCATTTTTTTTTTAACGCAAACGTAATTAATAATTATCATGTGCATAAAATCAATTCGTTAATATTTAAGAACAGAGTGAAATTTAATTTAATTTACGGCTACATTCTATAAACGTACTTTTTAAATATATGTAAATATAATATGGTATACAAGCGTGCAATTAACATTTAATAATCGACGTTTGTCCTGTGTAATAACTAATAAGTGATGTAAAATGCAAATCAATGAGTATAAGTAGGTACCTATAACATATTTTGTACGTGTGTTCACGATTATTTATTGTTTTGCGGTTATCAAACCATAAACATTAAAACACACACGCACAACACGGGTGATTTTGCGTAATGCCGCTGCTGCCGAGTTAAATCGAGAGTCGCTTTTAGAAATTTTAGCTCATCCTGTAATGAAAATAATTATTATCGAATTACCCGATTAACAACATAAGTGTACGTGTACATAATTATATACATTATACACGCATCACAGCGTCAACGTGCAAGTGGTATAATATTATTATACCATATTATAATATCCTAATACAGCGTTATGCGAATCAATATGTATGTACGAGATCGGTCTTAAGAGATAGTGCATATTAGGAAATAAAAAATTCAAAACTGGCCTTTCTCTCCACGCACTTATCTTCCGACTCCGGTACCATCGTCGTAGGTATATAAATTACCAATGTATGATTGCGTTTAAGATATTTGGATAGACTGACTCCGATCGTGACTGGTCTCCGACGACCGTGGGCGATATCGCATATCTATACGACCTGAACAAAAGCGCGTTGATACTTTCACAGTGTTTATATTTTATTTTCATAATTATTATTTTGTTTTTAAATAGGTACACTAAATTAAATACAACTTGGCTAGAAAAAAATTTAAAACCATAATAATATGGAGTGTAGCGTATAGCGGATAAACACAAATCACGTATCGTATTGACACAGGTGCACAAGCGTATTTGCAAAACTTTTTTTTTAACGAAATCAGATAATACAATCATCGATGTAACGTTAAAGCACTTAAAACAGAAATGATCTTACAACTCTTTTACGTACACTATCACATGAAAACCTGTATGACGTGCGTATATTATAACATAATGATGGTATTCGCCATTATATTTCTAGCCCATGAATCATTTCACCCATTTCATGCACATAATTGATACGTTACCGCCTCTACTATTAATCTTGTCAATCTTATATAAACCCTAAAAATTAGTTTTAATAATATGTACAGTGTTCTATTGCTTTCTATGAGTTAATTTTAAATAATTCTAAAACCAGTTTTCTTTTTAGGTTACGGAAAACCAAAAAGGACCGCTTCTTATTCCACTACCACCAACGCCGCCGGAAGAGCCAACAATTGTTTCGATACCACCGTCACCGTCAACTGACAGTGACAGAGACACGAACCAAAAACTAAAAGTTACCAGCGATGCTAATAATAATGGGATCCCGGAGAAAGACCGAAATTCGAATCAAACAAAAAGTCATATTTGTGAAGAATGTGGAAAAACTTTTGTAACTAAAGCGTCTCTTAAGGTATATACCTAACTATATAAGTAACGTCATAAACGACGATTTAAATCTAAAAACATTCATACTTTCAAAAGACTAAGAAGCCCGTATTCTTTCTAAAAACGATATAATTAAATACCTAAAATATGAGTCACTGATCCGTCAAACTAATTATTGGCCAACAAATGAGGTAATCAAGTAATAAATTATCAATAGGGGCTCAGGGGTCGCAGGGGCCTTCAACCTTTTTAGACACCGGGCCACCTAATATTTTTTAAAAATATTGCTGGCTGCATTTGTAATAAAAACGTAAATTTAATGATTAACATGTATTCATAAATCATAATACATACTATGATTAATATATGCCCGTGTTCACGCAGTTCACAGGCCTCAATTAAAGACACGGTGGGCCGTGGGTTGAAGACCACTTATCTATAGCCAAACACTTTGAATTAAAAATTAAATAGAATTTTTATATTAACGATTGTACCAAGTATCCCATAGTATCTACATCACGCGTTAGCTGAGTAATTTGTTTCCACAGAGTTATCATTATAACGCTTAAAAAATAACTAACATATTAAATATTTACGTAAGAATATCAAATTGCCATACCATAAAAATAAATAATATTCTTTCCACAGGAGAGAAAAATTACCCAAATATATAATTTTCCCCAAATCTACAAATAGCATGTTCAATAAAAATTAAAAATGTACCTATACTCAATAATATTTTTTTCCTAACAAACCTAGTCAACTGAAAGATTTCTGTTTCAAATCATAAAATATGTGATTTGTCATTACGTAAACTCACAAATAGTTATAACTTGTAACTTATAAATTGTATAATAATAATACAAAATGTATTATGTGACGTTTAAAATCTATATCGCTTACATCTTGTCTTCGACCGTACAAACAATTACCTAACATGTCTTATAAAGTGTCTTTTCTACCGGTACAGATCCATCAGAGGACCCACACGGGCGAGAAACCGTTTGTGTGCGAGTCCTGCGGCAAGCAGTTCAGCCAACTGCGCAACTACAAGTATCACAGGTCCGTGCACGAGGGCACCAGAGAGTTCTCTGGTAGCTGCCCGGAGTGCGGTAAGCTGTTCAACGACCGCGGTTACCTGAGCTCACACATGAAGATCCACCGGAACCGGAAGGAGTACGAGTGCGAGTATTGCACGAAGAGCTTTAACCAGCGGGTGGCGTACAACATGCACGTGCGCATACACACGGGCGAGAAGCCGCACAGTTGTCACCACTGCGGCAAGTCGTTCACCAGGAAAATGTTGCTCAAACAGCACCTGCGCATACATACCGGTGAAAAGCCGTTCTCGTGCGCCGTGTGCCACAAGCCGTTCGCCGACAGGTCCAACATGACGCTGCACATGCGCCTGCACTCGGGCGTCAAGCCGTACGCGTGCGCGGTGTGCGCCAAGTCGTTCACCAAGAAGCACCACTTGAAGACGCACATGAACTACCACACGGGCGTCAAGCCGTACTCGTGCGACAAGTGCGGGCTGAGCTTCAGCCAGAGTAGCAACATGAGGACGCACCTGAAAAAGTGCAGTGCCGTCGCGACACCGCCACCACCGTCCCAGTCGCCACTGGACGCCACAGTGGCGGCACCGGCCGCACAGCACGACTGAACGAGCACGATGCGACCGCAAGGTGACCACGTCCCTTGCGTTTCTTCACAAATTGAAACGGTTTTCATCTTACACTTTCCGATTCAGCCTTCTTCCTTTTACTACGCTCGAGACGGATTTGACCACAAACTCCGTCGCTTTGTAGCTATATAAACGTTAGGTTATGTAATTAATATAAATAATTTATGAGTTTGTGTAATATGTAATATATAAATATTATTTTTGTTCTATCGGATCGTTCAGAAACAGACGAAATTGATTATGAGTTTTAGTATATTTCCATTTATTAAAACATATTATTATAAACACCGAGCGGTGGTCCTACCGAAAAACCGAATGCACGTAACCCAGAGTTTCCAACTGTGGATAGTGATTACATAATATTATTATATCAATTACGGTGTGTAACGCATTTGATCATTATTACTGGTTGCATTTATGTACCTATAATTATAATATGATAATGTTTGTGTGTGTCGCGATTTCCATGACTAGACGTCTAGACACCTAACCCATAAACTTTCTATGATGGCGGACGATCGATGATCGGTTGACACGGTCACGTGAAATGTACGTATAATGCGATATTAGTAACGGCCAGTCTCGAAATGATCCGATGATGACATGCCCAGAATCGTCAATTGGGGAGGGTTGGTAATGAAAAGTGTGTATACAATATAAGTTATAACTGTATGATATGAATAATTAGGTCTGCACATCTTAATAATATATACTAAAACATGTGCATAAATAATTATCAGTTACAATTATACGTTTCAACAACTCTATAGGTACAATAAATACATAATTGCATGCTTTAGAACTAAGCAAATAAAAGCTAAAAGTGTTTTGACCAATCGGTGACTTGCGGCGGATCCACTTCACGGGCTAGATTTATCTCTCGATGAGCGACATGATAACGTTTTCTAATCACTTAAGCAATTTGACCGGATACGTTTTGCTTGGCGAGCGACCGACCTCCGGTGCGTGTCCGTTCACCCCACCAGTGCCAAGTTAGTGATTAATAGCCACGCACGAGCAGTGGCAATCAGTAATAGCATCTAGCTGGACAATTATTATCTGTCGGCCAGGTCGAGGCAGGTGTTATTATCTCAATCCGGACGAGTGTCCGAGGGAGACGCATTGAAGCGGTTGTGCGTTTCAGAATTATATAACATTTTGTACATAAGGTACGATGATAATAATATTCCAAAATGTATGTTACAATATTGTATTTTGATACCTATCAAAACGACCAACATTTAAACCCGACCTTCCGGTAAACGACAGACCGGAACTGGTATGTCAATACCACAACGTTATCGTTCCGTATTATACTAGCTATGGTCTGTGATATACACAATCGTGTAGAAACCTATTTTATCAGTACCAATAATAGGTATAATATTGCATAGGTATTGTATAAGTTAGGTACGTACATTAGTCCAAATTGGGTTACTGGTATATTTTAGGGCCGAATGATCGTGATTCAAATAAATAAAATAGGTTATTGAATTTCTATACAAATCTTAATTTGATGAATAGTAAGTGTTTTTTGGATTTTTCAAACACAAAAAAAGGGGAAGTGCGTAACAAAAAAAGGGGAAGTGCGTAACAAAAAAAGGGGAAGTGCGTACAGAACAGTTTTGTTGTGAAGAATTAGGAGTTGAGTGTGAGCACTCTTTTTTATCGAATAGGTCACCGTAATGGATGTGTTAAATTTTGCAGAATTCGATGATAAACCGTTGCATACGAAAAACGATACGGAGCGGAGACGGTCTGTCAACCTGTTCGCATATATTACTATTAATTTATTATTGTAGTAGTTTACTTTATTGTTTATAAAAATAATATTACAAAACAGTAAAGCACGGTCTGCCCTCAAGGAGGGAGATGTGATTTTTGCAAACCGATTCAAAACAAAAACGAAAGCGACTACGCGGTGTCCATTAATGCTATAATATGTGAGGTGTAACATTTTATAATCACATACCCATTATATAGTATGTTATTTCAATCGCACGGCGATCGCGATACGGTTACGACAAAGATAATCTTACGAAATATAATGTACCGCCGCGACCGGAGGCGGAGGCGGCGGCCGTCTGAAAAGCTAGATAAGGATAGTGATAAGGATACACGAGCACCGGGACGAACTCTCGATTTTTTTGTCCGTCGGATTTTCGATTCCGCGGCATCCCGATAAATCATCAACGCGGTGGTTTGTCAAACGCGATTTCGGCGGCCCCGTTCGTCGTGCCCCGGGTCGTAAATACGTCACCGTTTTAGTACGTCTCTATTTACAAATCAGCGGGCCAACAACCGGGGCACAGGCCGTATCTCGTACGCGATAGCAAAGCAAATTCAATAACCCGTAATTATTATTAATAATTTCTGCCCGAAACCGCTAGCAGACCATTACGCGGATGTGACGCGATCGTAAATCTACACGTACACGGCGTATGCGTATATACGTTACGCTGCTGGTACACGACTATACATACTAGGAGCCTCGGGAAACTGCGTAGGATTTACGAGCTGCGTGAGTGCCGCCCGAACGAGATTTTTCGTTGTTTATTACCGTCAACAATTATTAAATGGGCGCGTAACCGTTGTACGCCGCCGCCGCAGAGACCGGACCACGGTATAATATTATACGCCGACCGGTTTTCGCGGCAACAGTGAACTATTTAATGCGAGTACACGCTTTTATACGTGTGTAATATAATCATTTAAGGAGCTCTCTGGTATGTGAAATAGTAATTTTTCGGTGTTTCGGCAGCGACGGCATGTGACCGAAAGTGTTCCGAACGGACCCCGAACGTTAGGTACATCATTACATTATAATTATTCCCGCGATGTCGTGTCCACAAGTGTGCGCATTTTCGCCAGGTTATTATGACTATAAAAACTCGTATGATATAAAATAAGTATATACACATATGTACCAAAAAACTCTACCAAAAAACCCACAACGCAGACTAAAGTGAAAATATGGTGAAGAGACCTATTGTATTAAATAAAGAGGTGTTAGTGTAATATCGACGGTTTCTTCCTAAATCACGAAATTCATGGTTTTTTTTCTTCTTGTAAATATCATATTATTGTAATAATATTGTAGGGATTGAAAATGGCTTTAAACCACAAAAAAAACACAAGGTTTTGAGTTCAAAACTTAAATTCTGTTCCTACAACTATTCGGGATTGGCCGACGTGGTTATATTTTTTTACATCAATTCCATGACGTGATAATTACATATTACAATATGGTCACTTTAGTATGTAATATATTTTATCACATAAACTAGAAAAAGTATATTTGATAGAGTTCACAACATTTACAATTTTGAATGATACTGAATAAACTCACTACAATAATCAATATGTAACTGTAAGACCTAGTCACACCCACCAAGGGAATATCATAAAACGTGTTATTATGATTATACCTGGAATTTTTTTTTAAGCCAGACATTAATTTAGTACCTATATATTTATATCTATAGTGTAACACTTTTATTATTACACGTTTATTCACGCCTACTATAATGAGTACCTAATAACCATTATCATTGGTCATATATTGTACAATATAACCCATATAATCGTGAACACACCTACAACAGAAAAGTTCCCAAAGGACCAAAACCCTCACAGATTATACCCTGTGTGTCTAAGTACTAATGGCGTGGTTGTGTGCATCGTCGAACTTTATGTTAAGAATATGTTATTTTAATCTGACAGCATGTTTCACCTGTCATGCTATTCCTAACCTATATAAAGTATACTGTACAAAGCATATTATTGTGTTAATATTACCTATATATATATTAATAATTAATATCGATCGGTTGACATTTCAGTTGTTGCTTTTATTTTTCACACATCAAAATTAGGCGGTAGGTAAAAAGTAAGTAAGTCATAACAGTTGGTATATTTTTAATTTTTATACATTTGTTTAATGTTTATAAGTATAAGTTAGGTACTCTACCGATTCAAAAATGTCAACATTAAACAAGATATTATTGAATTTGATTCGGCAAACATAAATTTCCATAAATTCTTAACGATATTTTATTTTACATTTGTTCAACATTTCATTTCATACCTCAATATTTAGGGAAATAAAATCCACGTTCACATAGGTACTCATTTTATTACAATATTGTCAATTACAGTGCAAATTTAAACGCACGCTCAAAATAAACGATTGGATTAATGAAAATACATAACATTAGTATTGCTCTTCGGATATTTTGAATGTTTTAATAACTATTATTTCCACGTCGACGACTCCAATAAATTCCTTTCGGCTAGAAGCTATCGGTCTCGATCCGGTTATCTCAGTGGATTCTTATCCAACATGCCCTTTGTCAAACAAAGAATCCCCGAGCAAAAACCATTTTTTTCTTTTTAGAAGTAATTTACAAATGTCGAAATAAAACAACTCTGTAATCGAATTCAGACGTCTTAACATCTCTGTCGACTTGGGAATTAAAGCTATTCAGTTGGTTAGGTTAGGTTCAGAGTCAGTGAGAGACGAGAAGATAAATCGATTAGTACTGGTCTCAAACTAACAACCAAATAAGTACATATAGATCATTAACACTAAATATAAAGCGGTTGTACAAAATCATTAAAATTTTTAAATCTATAAATTGTAACATTTTCTTTAGGCGTATATTAAAACTAAATACCTAATTATATATTGTCACTCAATTAGTAAAACATGTTTTACCGACTTCTCCTGTATAATTTGCATCTTAATTACAGTACTCATATGCAAATTTAGTAGAAATTTAAGACTTGCGCCAGGTATTCTGTAGGTACCCAGGTACAGTACCTGTAACAAATGGAACAAACGTTAATTTTTTTATTTACAAAATAAACGTATTTAAAATAGTTTTCTATTCAAAAGTATTTTAAAAATATTTTTGTTCACCGGAGATTGAGAGATTTGAACTTATATTACAAGGTCGCATTTGGACCTTGGTTGAGGT